CTGCCCCATAGCCCACTGGGGGAGGTGTAGCTAGGGAGGAGATCGTGGTCTTTCTGCCGCGCCTGACGGGTGGGGGGACGAGAGGACGACCTGCCCCTGGGGGGAGCCGGGGCCGTGGTCCCGCTGCGGTGTGGTGCGGGTAGCCATCCTCGGGAGCAGCGCTGCCGGCGCCGGCCCGCCGCGGGCAGGGTTTGCCCCTGCTGGGGGAGGGGCGGGGATCAAGCCGGCGCTACTCCCGCCTTCCGCGGGGTGGCGGGAATTCTTGGTCTTTTCCGAGGAGGGAGGAGGGAAGTGCGAAGGCCTTGCCTCGGGGCCACGCTGTGCTGGCTGCGGTGGCATTCCTACGGGAGTGCAGGGAGAGGTCAAGCGGCAACCTCCGAAGGGTGGATTTGGGCCACCCTTTATCCTGGCTCTCGAGAACTGGAGGCTCCACCAGGTCCTTCCTGGGGCAGGAGGGAAGGTAGCTGACATGCAGGGTCGGCCCTGGAGCGGGCCCAGAAAGTGATTGAATTGCCCGCCGGCAGCCCCCACCTTGTTAGGTGGGCTCTGATGGCTTTCTCGATTTAAGCCGCGGGTTGTGAAAGAATTCACCGAGAAGTGTAACTGGGCAAAAAGGTTTATTCACTTTCCAAGGGAGGAAAGGGGCCGAGAGCTATAGAGAGCTAAGGGCCCTCCCGGAGAGCCTGAGGTTTTTAAGGGCTGTTTAAAGGTTAAGGCGTGGGCTCCGGGAAGGAGCCGGCAGCTGCCTCTGGCTCACCTTATAAAGTTAGGTTAAGGTGGGGGATCCGGGGCGGAGCTGGCATCAGCGGCGTCCAGATGTACTACACGCTCTGTTCCTCCGGCAGGATGCGGCCATATCTAGAATAGACTTAGATTTGGGTAGGGTGGACGGTGGAAATTTACTGTGGGTTAAGTAAAAGGTGTGTGGTCTTAGATGGGTCAGGGTCTATCACACCTGACCTCCAGTTTCTTGTGGATGTATCAGAGGCTCCAGCCTTTAGTAAACCTGTCTGAATTATTGTTTTTTAAATTTTCTTTTTAAAAAAGAAACCTGTTGCTGCAGCTTAGACATTTGGTCTCCCATGCCTATGTGGGAGGAGAATCCTGGGGCACTTATCTGGTGAAATGTTACTTCAAGCAGAGATTTCCAGCTTTGGGTGGTTTTTCTGTCCTCCAGCTTTTTCAGTTACCTCAAAGGGAATTGCACAATTCTTACAGATAATTTCAGTTCACTTTGATTTTGTTTGAACGTTATGTCCCTTTTATGGAGTGGTAAAACCTACTGAATGCCTTTTGTGTAGTGTGCTTCACACGGATTGCATTTGGGGAAGGTTGGAAATCAAAGGTCAGTGGGGAAGTCCTGTCATGTCCCTTGAAAATAATCCTTGCCCTTGGCCTATCAGTCAGATTCAGCTTGATAATGCTCTGGTTTTAGAGCCTTGAAAGAGGGATATGGGATTGTGTCTGGTGTTGCAGTTTTAGTGGCCTGCATAAAATAAAGCTTTGTGCTCTAAGGCAATAGGTTTCTTAGGTATGATAAAAATAGAAGAGAAACCAGTTTCTGAGGTTGCAACCAGGAGGTTAGAGAACAGTGAGGGCGGGCGTGGTAAACTGAAGTGTGAAGAAGGGGGTGGACAGGTGAGAGACATAGAAGGACAGAATAGGGTCACAGGAGGGATGGGGCACAGAGGAATTAAGAGAGACTTGGGAGATGGGGAAAATATTCTTCCCTTAAAAATAAAGAGATCCTCATATTTTTGGTGGAGGTTACAAAGTAAATGCCAGGAAAGGCAGGTGATGGTAGAATGGCAGAGGAGTACTAAGGCTGTCTTGTGGAAATTCATTTTAGAGCTTCGGTTTTATCTGAGATTCCCCCCCCCCC